CGATGAGTCACAAAGGAAATAGATACTTCCCCATTTTTTTAAAAAAAGAATATTCTTGAAGTCACAAATTTTGCTTGTTTCAAGCTAAGCCGTATTCTCTGTATTTCACACATATACATGCATACACCCCAATTGGAATTCTTGCAGTCTGGTGAGGCAATGAAATCTTGTTTTAAGAAACTAAATGTATAAAGGGTGTGTCTTATTCCCAAGTAACTGTTAAATAAGATAGCATGTCATTGTGATTTCTGTCATTTATACAATAACATTATCCAAGTGATTTGTATCATTTGATCAACTTTTGATATTTGCATCTATTATGTGCAAAATTTGAGGTATGCCAAAATGAAGTTTCACTATACTAAGTACCAGTGCAACTGCAATTAGATCCATCCCTTCAGTGGTCCACAGATCATTTTTGCATGACATAGTGCTCCAGTATGATGCTGGTACTTCAATTGTGGAGCAGTGTTTTCTAAATTTATGAATCAATTTTTTTTTCTGATGTAATTGACATATTTGTAGTGTTATATCTGGCAGATATCCTGATTTGTTCAGAGGATGAGAAATTATATAAATCATCATGTATGAGATGTCTTGCGCAGACCATTGGAAAATCACCTACTTGCTAAGCTGGAGAAATGTACATTTGACTTAAAGCAGGTGGGCTTTTTTGGGTGATCACATTTCCACAGATGGGATCCAGATGGATCCCCAGAAGGTGCACAGAGTACTTTCCTGGCAACCCCCTATCATGCAAAGGAGGTTTAATGTTTACTAGGCTTTGCTAACTTTTATAGGTAGTTCATTCCTAACTTTGCACGCAAATTAAGCTTCTCAACTCAATTGCTAAAACGGAAAGAGAAATTTGCTTGGATAGAAATAGAATAATCTTCATTTGAAAAGTTAAAGAGCAATAGCACTTCAATGTATATACTACCCCACAATACTTTACAGCAGGGCTCTCCAACCTTGGCAGTTTTAAGACTTGTGAACTTGAACTTCCAGAATTCCTCAGCCAAGAAAGCTGGCTGAAGAATTCTGGAAGTCGAAGGCCACAAGTTGCCAAGGTTGGAGACCCCTGCTTTACAGCACTCTCTGGGCAGTTTACAATGTCAGCATAGTGCCTCCAACAATCAATCTTCATTTTACTGACCTTGGAAGGATGGAAGACTAAGTCAACCATGAGCCCCATCAGGATCCAACTCCAGACTATAGGCAGAGTTTTCCTGCAATACTGCATTCTAATCACTGCACCACCAACAGTTCTTTACCAAAAGAGCTCTTTACCAAACAGCCCCTTCTCCAAGACCCAGGCTCATCAAAGAGATTTATTGACCAGACATAAGCCTCAGATGTGGCTTTAGGAGCTGAACCATTGCAGGAGTTGTCCTTGAATTCTTGCACAGTTGCAAAAAAAAAAAAAAAAGATTCAGAGCTGTATAACATTCCTGTATAATAGGCAGGATATAATAAAGTAGTCAGCTTGAACATATGTAGGCCAGGTTCATCGAATCTAGATCTGCCTGACAAATGTAGCTCTTTCCATTGTTCTTCCTCTCAGGAAATGATGACCTCTGCAAAGCCCAAGAGGCCAAACTCCAGCTCAGTTGGTAACAGCAGCAGTGAGTGAAAAGTTCCTCACCAGCTGCTCCTTCATTCCCATTGCTTCTGAGGATGCTTGCCTCCAGTCTCGCTACAATCAACTCTAGATAGTTATGTTAACATGCTGCCATCTGGGTTTGATATTTGAAAGTATAACTGATTTAGCTGCGGAGCATCGTAAATTGCACAGAAACACCCTTCCTATTGGCAGCAGTAAAGGTCTGTTTTCCTATAGTCAGAAAATCTTGCCTAATCCTCCCTGCTCTTCTCACCCATGCCCTTATCCCAGTTCTTGGGCTTTGGCTGATGTCGCATTCACTTCATAGATGCTTAAAGAAAAAGAGTAACCTTCACACAATCAGACAAATGCAAACCTGCTCATTCTACTTTAAGGCATAGGGTTAATTTTTATATCCTTCTAACCAGGGCATGAAGATAGCTTGTTGACTTTTTAAAAGAGAAATCTCATCACCTCTAAGTCATTTGCAGCCTGATATAGAGGTAGCATACTTGGTCTGCTGTTAAAAAGGAATTGTCTTTTCCCAATGCAAATGTTGTCATACTATCTATTTACAGTATGTCACTTGGGATCTACTTGGATCCCAATGGCCACTTTAAGCTCCTGTGGGCATATTTCTTTCCTTTTGATCATGTAGCTGTGCCTACTATGACCAATTTGGTTTGGGTTATGAGACCAGACAGTTTGCTCATACACAGGCATCTGTTCAAGTAATGCCACACTTATTTAATTATCTGGATTCCTTATTTCCAACAATGGACCAATCTGTAGAGGTATTGGTCTTTTAGGTAGGATGATGAAGCAACAGGAGCCTCTGTCAATACATCTTCTGTTATTCAGGGTGGATGGAGCCCCTTGCTAGAGGTGTTTGGAATGTGTCTTTCGGGCAGGTTTGGGTGGGTTCCCTATCTGGTTATCTCTTTTGTATTGTGCTTTTATCTTTGGTTGTATTGTAAAATACCAGGGAGACATGAAGCTTTCAAGAAGAGACTGGACTGACATCTGTCATAAATGGTGTAGGGTCCCCTGATTGAGCAGTGGGTTGGACTAGATGACCTACAAGATTCCTTCCAACTCTGTTATTCTGTTATCTGCAAATTCACTTCATTCTGCTGAACTATTAGAGGCAGTATTTGTCCCTCCAGATGACAACCATTTTGTTATGGGTACTGATAAGCACTACTGAGAAATGGTCTACCTAAAAATGGCTCTTTTGCTCCCATTCCACATACCATTGTCTACAAAATATAGAAGAATAGCTCTGGATTGGAGTAATAATCTCATTAGATTATGGGGCCAGGACTACAGTGGAGAATATGGATCTCATTACAGTGCATTAATTTCAAGAAAGGTAAATGGTCACTGGCTCAGTTTCTACTCCATTAAAAATGCTATCTCCACCATTTACCCTACTTTGAAACTGCCATTGTCATCTCTGCTCAAATATGGGCTATTGAATGATCAGATTTGTATATGAAAACATCATCACACGCACATATACGCACACAAGAACTTAAGTTTTTTTTCACTTTTACTGATTCTGGATAGGATGCACACATTACTGTATTACTTCATGCCATTGAAGACTTGATTTTTCAATCTGTGATTTTAAAACAAAAGAAAGAAATTCTGGTAATTGGAAAGAGGGTTTTAAATCAAGAAATAGTTTTGGAATAGCAAGGGTATGTGGACGAGTTAACAAAATCTATTAACTTGTATTATGTAGCATTTATGGGCATTAGCAGATCTTTTTAATTATAACTGAAGGTAGTTCAGTCTGCTGATCTTACTCCAAATAATTTAACTCCATAAATCTGAATATTAATCTTTCTCTGTAACATATATAGCTTGTGAGAAGTTTACCATATAGTATTTCTCAATGATGTGAGAAATCTATATTTTTCACTGAGTAGGAAAGTATTGATTTAAAACAGAAATTCCTAATGAAAAATTCAAACAGTAACTTATAATTAAAAAAAACACCATTTCCTATTATCCAAATGACCAATCATTTTTGCTCTACCAAATGCAACCTTTTATTAAACTTTGCTAATGAAATAAAGAAGCCACCACTTCATTTTTTTTCTTTTGGAATGCAAGTATTTATTAGAAAATTATCCATTACATTTAGAGTTGACTTTGTTATATTGGAATAAGGCTTAGAGTTACTTTAGGAAGAATTGGATTCTTTAAAAGGGTACAGTAGGGTTCTTAAAATAATTTAATTAACAACTGTGTAGTAGCCTAGAATTGACATATCAGCCCACACAGCAAACAAGAGAATATGCACTGAGTCTGCTCAGTTGAAGGCTCATGCAGCACATTGTTCCTGTTCACAAGAACATGATGTGTGAGATTCAACTAGGTCTATCATATCGTCAGACTTTTCAGCCAGCACGGTCAGGTCAGAAGGCAAGGTTGATCCTGAAAGAAGAGGAAAAAGAGTAAAATCATTAAAAGAAGCAACATGGCACGAGGCAAAGAACGTTTTTCTGCAAGGCCAAAGAAAACTCCCTCATTACCATTAAGGCCTACTCCAGTCTTGCCCAGAATAACTTTCCCCAAGCTACTATTGTGTTGGAAAAGTTGAGAAAGGGACTTGCAGTTGTGACTACAGCAAGGAAAGGGAATAATTTTTTCCCAGTCTCACTTTCAATAATCCAAAGGATAACTCAGCTTCCTCAGATATGCACATTCACTGAATTTATGCAAGCAAATAGTCAAATCTAATTTGACCCAGTCCTTTATGCCAAGATAATGAGATCACTTAGAACACCAGAGTATTTCCCTTATTCAGTTTTCAAGCCTGTTCATAGTAAATATGAGATATTTCTAAATACTTATGTGTTGAGACTAGGATACCTTTTCACTGTAGGTAACAGTCAAGCCCTCTTTAAACCAATTATTAAGACAAAATATTTAAAACAATAAAATTCTTTTAAAGTTTTACTGCTTTTGTACAGCTCAGGACACCTTTTTTTAAGGTTCTTTCTTCACATAGAAGCAACAGTAGGAAGAGGAAAATCCACTAATGAGCAAAATGTTTACAGTATTCTGAATGACCCCATAAAATCAAGCTCTTTGGTGCTCCCCTCTAAAAACAAGATATTTGAAAACCAAGAGATTGCAGAAAATTATTAGAAAATATTCTTAAGTGAATCATCTAGTGTGCCTGCCCCATATCTAACATTTACATTACACATTATAAGAATATCCAAAATAAGTAAATATTACATACCAGTTGGCACACAATGGAAGCTAGCTAAGGTTTGGGTAGTACTGGTGGCTGAGCAGCCTTCAGCACAGCGTGCGACAGGAAGATTGGTAGCACACTGTTCCATTAGGATTGGATTCTCATGTCTCACTGTTGTGTGTCGCAGTTTACAGTCTACAAGAGAACAAGATAGATTTATCAAAAGGACAGCTCTACAGCTTCATTTTCCAAAGTAGCATTTATGAAAGCATCATGTTCATGCTTACTAGCTTTGAAGGTATGTGATTTGAAATAATTTATTCCAAACAATATATTCTACAGGTATACAATAATCAACTTTGGGGCAATACTAATTCCTAGCAGCCATAGGCTACTCTTCTTTGAGCCATTGTAGGAAATTAAAGTGATGGTTTAATCCAGTTGCTTACAGTGATGTCAAAGTGCTGAGCAGAGCAAGGAAAAACCTGGAGCAGATTGTTGGTGACTATTAAAGCAAGCCATCAGATTCTGCTTACCTCCACCACATTTATCAGGGACCACCCAGGACTGCACAAAGCTCACTTCATCTCTAGCTATGTGGCCACTTGGTCTCCGTAACGCTTTTGCTTCTGAGCCATACCATCCACAGATACCACATGAATTTTCTATCGAGGGGTTAACTTCAAACTTCACAAAAAGAGGGGGGGGGGGAATAGATTTTTGTTTACAACAAGCATTGAAAGAAATGAAACATCATAAAGACATTCGGAAACAACAAAACAGAGTGCGTTTCAAATTGTTTTTGCTCATTTCCCACCCCCTCCAGAAATTTAAACAGGATTCCTCAGACCAATTTATCTCAAAATCTTATGTGATTCAAGTGCTGTTCTCCTAAGCGCATCAAGAACTTAATTAATCTCTAAAGGAGCAAGAATCATTCCTGTATTTGCTTATCACTTAACATTCTACAATTTTAAATATTTTGTAATAATGACAGTAATATATAATAAAAATACCTTGACATTATATCCTGTGTATAGCACATTTTCTAATCCAACTAAGGGCATTCTAAAGTCCAGTTCACTTTTTGTTTCCTTGAATTGAAGAGGCACATCTGTAAGTTTTAAAAGTGAAATGAAAGTTCAATTAATGATTCCACCAAGAGGGATAGTAGATGGAATTCCCCTGAAATAAAATTTGTTCGGGGAGTATGCTTTGTTTCTTTTCCCATTTCCATCTAAACATTCCTGATCTTCAAACTACCCATGTTGGTTCCTTCTAATATATTTTAGATTCAGGAAATATAAACATTTCTATATGGAGAATGCATAATTGAAGGACTACTTTTAAATCCAGAATCAGTCAATACTTCTTTTTAAATTGATTTTTCTCCTCGATTTATACTGTATCATTATTTTCTATTTCTTGGCAATAAACTTAGTTTCTTTGATATATTTTTTTAGTAAACTCTTCAGTTGTTTCATTAACTCATGACTAAGATTATTTTCTTTACGTACGTTTCAGTGAACGAGGGATAACTCCATCCTGTAACCTAGTGCCATTTACTTCTAGAATGAGCTCACCATCGCGCTGCTTCATGGTACATATACTTATAGAAACAGAAAATGTAAAAGAGAGTTAGTCTACTGAATTCAAAATTCATGAGTTTTTGCTCAATATGTTTACAATAATGAGTTCATTAACACTGAGCGTTATTTTATTCTCTTATGCAAGTTTATTTTATCAGGCATAAAAAGACATACCATTTAAAATAGCCAGTTTTAATAGGTATCCCAATATCTAAAATCCTAATTACTGGCTGAAAAATGCTGGTTGCTTGGAGGTAACAGAATTTTCGTCTACTGTATAAGCAAAGCACAGGATATCCTGCTTCATAGCTCCTGATAAACCCAAACTTGAAACACTCATTTATTTATTTTTCGCATTTCTGAATCATCCATTTCCCTCAAAGATGGACTCTTAATTCAGAAGCCAAGAGAAAAATCTGACATTTTTCTAACACAAGAGACTCTTCTGGTTATTCTTGTTTTCCAGTAACACAAGTGCTTTCTAATATATACTGCTGTTGTTATTATTGTTGTGCAGCCTTATTATTATCCTCATCCTTCCTATACATGATTTATTCTGCTGTTGAGATTCCATTTTTATTGCAGTTGTTATAGTTGTTGCTTTGACTTAGTTATATTTAATTTGCTCAGATTTTGAATAAAATTATGTAAGTTTTCAAAAAATGTACAAAATTTATAATAGAATAGCTCTTTTCTAATAATTTTGGCAATTACGTTTTCTCTCATGAGTTCAGGCTAGATTATTCAAAATGCATTGGAAATTACTTACATGTCCTGTGCATGGATTTCAACTAGAAGACTATTATTGTGTGCTGTTTCGTATTTCATCAGTACAATCAGCTTCTTGTGACAAGTACAATCTCCCAGTACATTTATGAAACAATCATCAGGCAATCCTTTTGTAATGAATTTTTTGTTGAAATTTAAAATTCTTCTGCTTTCTACCGTACAAATACCTGATAACAGCAAGTAAGAATGTGGTGAGAGAAGAAAGAAACTTCTAATATTTTGACTATTTAGAGAAGCAGCTAATAAATTGTATTTTAGAACTTTGAGAAAATAACTTTATATTTGTTGTCACAGAAATCTAATGTAGAAATCTGTAGATATTTTTAAAGGGAGATTTATGTTCAGTTCATTTTAATATTTTCTTTGCATCATCACGAGTCACGTTGGAATAAGTGATGAATTTTTAGACTGTCTTGGTTTTAAATTGTCTGTGAAATGATATATAAAGTGATTACTCCACTTTGGTTATGAAAAAGGAATAGTCTTATATACATATTATACATATACATTTTATTTGGGCTAAAATAAAAATTAAATCCAAAGTTGCTATAGCTTTCTCTACATATTCAAATGAATTTAAATAAAACAAATTAATTTTATGATATAATATATATTTTAAACAGCTGAAGTAGAGGAAGGAAACCTGTGAACCTTCAAATGGTGTTGAATTTCATCAGCTCAGATTACTGATCATTTGGCAGGGAATTATGGAAACTGATATTCAACATCATTGAAAGGACCACAAGATTGTCCAGAAATTATAAGTACATAGTAAAACTGCTGACCATTCTGACTAGCAAAAAGCAATTTTGGAATATCAGCGATTGTTGAAGTTTTGGCTTTGGGATCCATTGGCACTGAATATGGAAGTTTGCAGTTGTCATTGTAGAGGAGATCCTGGAAAGAAATATGAAAAAATAAGCAGAGTTAATAGTTATTTTTCCAGTGCATTTTCAAAGAGGCACAAAGATTCTCTTTTTACTTAGTTTATAGATACATTTTGACAGTACACTAGTCCTAATCAATGTCCTTCTCACATTGGATTACTGCTTTGGCTTGACCAATTGGACAACCAGATCTTACTGGCCTTGCTGTATACATAGGAAGAACATATGTGGTAGGTAGGCCAAAAACTAACCCTCAAAATGGCAATAACATTCGCCTGTGGCTCTCCCTATTTTTACATGGCTGTAGAGCAGCTGTTTTGAGAACCTCATCAAAGCTGATCAGAATGAATAAATAAATGTACTTGGTATTTAATTGATTAGTATTTAAACAAAAGAGAGTTGTCTAAAAAAATATGTAACTCACTTCTGGCAATTTCATGACCATGAGACATTCGTCTGGACGTTTTAGAGCCATAATCATTGAAATTTCTTTAGAAGGATTCTTTTGGACTTTGTGAGAGAAGTCTGCCATGGAGGCAATTCCAGGGAGCACTGCAAGAATTCTTGACAAAGACAGAAAAGCCTGGTTTAACGGAACATAATTTAAGGGACATAGGAAGGACATTCTGTATCTAAGAAAACAAACCCCTAGAACAAACTTCATAGTCACCAATATATCATGTTTAGTCTGTAAAGTAGGTGGATAATATTTAAAGATTGATTTAGCCAAGAGTAGGTATGAGCCTGATTTGCATTTAGCTTTGACATTTATTATTCTATCGCTTGCATGGGTGATGGAGTGGCGGTAAAAATGCATTTATAGGGAATCTTCCTCCAAAATCTAGATTCATCCAGCAAGAGGTTATATAGATAGTTTGAAAACAGCAAATAAAATGGCCAATACTCTTTCCTTCCTTTACCAGTCAAGTTATTTAAAGATAGCTACCTTTGAGAAGGTGTACTTGGTTGAGGAACCAATTCATTCATTCATTTTGATCAGATGTAGTAAAGTTAGCTCTTTTAGTTAATAGAAATAAATGCATAAGTAATGTCCATAGAGGAGTACTATACCACATAATTCTGATCTGCCTCCATCGAATACACTTGTTGACCTTATCAGTGGGGGGGGGGGGAATAACTAGCCATTTTTTAAAGGCTATTCTCCTTGAAAAATGAGGTAAATGCAAATTTATTCACAGATCAATTTCGAATACTGCCCAGACTTTGATACCAGAACTAGCTTGAAACACAGTTTAGTTTAAAACAAAGTTACCTCTTTGTTGGGAAAGAATCAGGCTCATTTAAGTACACATATACACCTCAGCTGCTGTAGCATACAGCATTAGATCTTCAGAATCATTTACTTACTCATCTATCATATCATTCACTTGCTTAGGAACCCTAGGGTACTTAAATTTTGCCTCAAGAGCTGGCCTTTTAGCAAACACACCAGTCTCTACTTCAAGTGAAACATCGTAGTCTCTGCAATCCTGACCAGCTCTCAGAATTGCCTAAGAAGGAAAGAAATACATCAGATATACTTTTGCTTAACGTCGGTCACCGATATTTTGATTTAATGCTTGTATAGAACCATGTGCATTTGGAAAAGGCTTACCACTGTTTTATGAGGATGGAGCTCCATGTAGGTGAAGCATACCACTGGATTGGCTGGGCGAGCGATGTCTTTCACTGTCACTTTAACTGCAGAGGGACTTTTGAGCACTACAAGCTTATGCCCACGAGGTTGCTTACCAAGATATTCGTAGCGGAAATCAACAACGGCGTATGGCCTCATCTTTAGAGCAGGAAAAAAAATTCCAAGGGAAGAAATTTATTTAATTGCTGGTCTGGGTTTAACAAGTACATTGTTTTAAAGTGAATATCATAATTACCACTAAATCCCAAATGTGTTATTAAAGAGGGCCATCGGTTGATGCTTAGCTTACCTAGGACATTCTGGCATCTAGGTAACTTCTGAGAGCTAAATAGCCCACCTGAAAATTTCTCAATTACTGAGCTGTTTAATACAGCCAGATGTTCTTAAACTCCAGACCCTATAAGACAGTGGTGGGATTCAATTTTTTTTACTGCCAGTTCTGTGGGCGTGGCAGGGGAAGGATACTGTAAAACCTCCAGTCAGTATTTGCCGGTTCTCCAAATTACTCAAAATTTCCGCTACCGGTTCTCCAGAACTGGTCAGAACCTGCTGAATACCACCTCTGCTATAAGACTAGATTACCCTGACCAACAAGCTGTAGTCCAACAATTGTAGGATTATATGTTATTGTCCTTGCTTTCAAAGAATAATGAGGTTTGTTTGTTAGGCTTTTGGGGGGAGATGGGGGGGGGTTCTGTCTCTTTAAAGTTGATCCTATGCTACTTGCTTTTTTATTGATGATAACAAGTGCCTGTATATATTATCATTTTTGCACGATATTAGGATCTTATATTTTCACTGTATACATGACATTTCAGTTTGGATTAGCAATAGCAATAGCCCTTAGACTCATATACTGCTTCACAGTGCTTTACAGTCCTCCCTAAGTGGTCTAGAGTCAGCCTATTGCCCCCAACAGTCTGGGTCCTCATTTTACCGACCTCGGAAGGATGGAAGGCTGAGTCAACCTTGAGCCATTCAGAATCGAACTCCTGGAGTGAGCAGTGAGTTAGCCTATAGTACTGCATTCTAACCACTGTGCCACCACGGCTCTATTAAAACCAAGTAGCATATAAGTCTAAAATAATGTATGAATATACAATGGTAACAATAAAATATAAACTACTTAAAATCTCATTATTGCCTTTTGTGTTTCTCATGCTTAAGCCAGATAGTTTCCCCCCCCCCCAAGATTGATGTTTCGCAATGGAAAGGTATTTGGATACTGACCTCAGAGTGTTTTAAGCTGTTTTCATCAATGATGTCTCCTTTTCTTTTATAGTCCAGCTGAGAGTCAGAATCAGAAGGGCCATCAGATTGTGACTGCAGAAACAAAAGTATTAAAGCAAATTTCAGAACACGCAGCTTCCCTAGAGGAGTTTTAGAGCAGCAGAAGAAAGTCTCACGGTTAGAACAGCCTTCCCTATCCTAATGCCATCCAAAGATGTGCAGAATACACATTTATGAAGGACTAGCTAATTTGTCATGCTGGTAGGGAATTATGGAATTTCTATTCCCAATATCTCCCAAAGGTGCCAGTCTGCACAGAAAAACATTTTTCTGCCTCAGATTAGAAAAGAAACTTCACAGCTGAAAAAATGGTGTGGTGATTTATTTATGTAGGGTTTTTGTTTTGTTTTGTTTTTTTGACAAAGGAAAATAATAATAAATCAATACTTTAAAGAAGTGGGGAGCAAACTGAATGTTGAAATTATTTATCTTTTCTATAATGAATAGCAAAAGATATTGTACTGATAAATGGAGAAAATGGAAACATTTCAAGAATCAGTTACCTTCATTTCAATACATTATATTTCCACTCCCCCGCACTCCCCCAAAAAAGAAATATACTGCATTGCCACTAACATCCCATCAATAGTTTTCTGGCTTTGTTTAAACTTTCTGTACTCCCATATCTTACCTTCGTTTTCTTCAGAGATCGAAAAGAATATGCATAAAACTGTTTTGGTTTTCCCTTAGAAAAAAATTAAAAAGAACACTCAGAGAAATTTTCACACTGTGATGGTACATAAACTATTAATTTTAAAACAATATGAATAGAAATGCTATTTCTGAAAGTCATGTCCCTGAAGATCCTCTTTGAAGATCAAAATTCACGTCTATTTATTGAATGATTGGTTAAAACAAGGTGGCTAGCCTCATTAATGCTGCTTTTTAAGGCTAAAATAATAGTTTGGGATGCTTTCAAAGTTTCCATATTTGATAGAAAGGCTATTTTTAAAATGAATATTCAGTGATATAACAACAATGCCATCACTATAAGCTTTCCCAAATAACTGATTTATAAGCACTATTATCTCTTACTGAAATTGCATTGTGGGCTAATTCAAAACACCCAATACTGCAGATGACAAGATTACTAAATACCCAATGCTGATTTCTCATACCCCCGAAAGCAGATGACAAATCAGCATGATGAGAGATGAACAGAAATCACAACCACATCATTTGTTGTTACTTCAACACAATTTGTTTCCTTTTAAGTGTGCATTGTTGTTCTCTATCATTCTGCATTTGTGGAATTTAGTGTACTCAGATGCAGGTACACTCGTTGGTAAAATTGCTTATTCTGGTGCTCCATCATCAGCCCAATGGGCAACCAAAAGTTTCATAATAGCCAGCTAATATGATGGACGCCAACCTTCCTATTTGATGTCAAGATTTCTTTCAAAATGCCACGCCTTATAACATTGTGTTGAAATCTCTGTGGGTGAGCTCCATTTGATACACGTGTAAACTAATGCTTAGCTTTCAAATTCCAGGGATCAGAACCTAGGACTAACAAGCAAGATGGCTGGGGAATTCCTTCATAAGTCAGATGGACTCTCATAGCTCTTGGCCAATTTGTAATTCCCATTAGCCAGAAAGGATACAGCTATACACATTTCCTTCAATGAAGCAGGCTTTGCCTTCTTGCTCCCATTAACTATATTCAAAGAAATGACATCATAATTACCTTTTCCTCAACGTCATCGCACTCACTGCTGCTCTCACTGCTTTTGCTCTCGACGGTACTGTCTTCACTGTCGCTGCTCTTACTGCTGCTGTCACTACTGCTGCTGCTGCTGCTGTCACTGTCACTGCTGCTACTGCTACTGCTGCTGTCGCTGCTGCTGTCACTGCTGCTGCTGTCACTGTCACTGCTGCTGCTGCTGCTACTGCTGTCACTGCTGCTGCTGCTACTGCTGCTGTCACTGCTGCTGCTGCTACTGTCACTGCTGCTGCTGCTACTGCTGCTGTCACTGCTGCTGCTGCTACTGTCACTGCTGCTGTCACTGCTGCTGCTGCTACT